TCGTTACGTTTCGTTACGTTTCGTTACGTTTCGTTACGTTTCGTTACGTTTCGTTACGTTTCGTTACGTTTCGTTACGTTTCGTTACGTTTCGTTACGTTTCGTTACGTTTCGTTACGTTTCGTTACGTTTCGTTACGTTTCGTTACGTTTCGTTACGTTTCGTTACGTTTCGTTACGTTTCGTTACGTTTCGTTACGTTTCGTTACGTTTCGTTACGTTTCGTTACGTTTCGTTACGTTTCGTTACGTTTCGTTACGTTTCGTTACGTTTCGTTACGTTTCGTTACGTTTCGTTACGTTTCGTTACGTTTCGTTACGTTTCGTTACGTTTCGTTACGTTTCGTTACGTTTCGTTACGTTTCGTTACGTTTCGTTACGTTTCGTTACGTTTCGTTACGTTTCGTTACGTTTCGTTACGTTTCGTTACGTTTCGTTACGTTTCGTTACGTTTCGTTACGTTTCGTTACGTTTCGTTACGTTTCGTTACGTTTCGTTACGTTTCGTTACGTTTCGTTACGTTTCGTTACGTTTCGTTACGTTTCGTTACGTTTCGTTACGTTTCGTTACGTTTCGTTACGTTTCATTACGTTTCGTTACGTTTCGTTACGTTTCGTTACGTTTTAAAGTCTTTGGTAAAGGCTTATGGTCGAGTAAACAAAATCTCTACAAGGTAATCAGGAGGAAATAGAATACAATGTCATAAAAATTTAGCTTATTGCAGATCTAAAAGTCCTCAAGATTAAAATGCGATAAGTGTTTAACGCTAAATAAACTATAAATATGAGAAAAAATTGTTTACGATTAGATGGTGTAAAAGAAACCGATAATGAAGATTTGGTAACCATGGTTACAAAACTATTCGGCACTCAATTGAAAATTCCATGTACAGAATTAGAAATAAATAATGTTTATAGAATGGGAAAAATCAATAATCAACCAAAACCCAGAACAATAATTGTGAATTTTGTAACAGAATTTAAAAAAAATCAAATTTTTAAAGCCAGAAAACAGTTAAAGAAAACAGGAATATTTATAAATGAAGACTTAACTAGTATGCGATACAAGATATATATAGAAGCAAAAAAAAATATGGTTTACAACATGTATGGACAGTTAGTGGAAGAATATTTGCCAAACAAAATGATTCAGTAAAAATTATCAAGAATTTCGATGATATTAATTAACGCTATCCTAAGCCCATATACTATGAACGAGGGAACAGTTTTTGCAGAGACTATAATTTTGCTAGGTATCTGTATCTGATAAGAGTTAAATACTTGTTTTTATTTTAGTTCAGTTGGCTTTATCTTTTCTATTTTGTTATTATTTTATTTGAAAATTTCAATTCCACGGTATCAGAGTGTAGGATTTCTAATTCGATTATTAATAGATGGCAGGATTAGATTCGATTTATGATTTAAAATTGGTATATATTTTTAATTTTTTCTTGAATTAATTATTCATTTGTTTTAAGCTCACAATTTTTATCTTTCGCATTGTTCAACTATTTAATAATAGAAAAGAAAGAAAAAAAAATTATACTGTAGTTAATTTTGATAATTGATAATTTAAGAACAAATTTTTAAAAGTTTATATTCTAACAATTAGTTTATTTGTACTTTAAATAAACATCTATTTAATTTAAAATTCTAAATCACTTGTTATGTAGGTTCTCAACAATATAAGTATACATAGAAACTGGAACTAAAATTGTATTACCAGAACTCCAGAGGATTAAATACAAAAACTTTAGATTTTTTTAACAGCACATTAGAAAATGAATATGATATTATTATGATTTCTGAAACATGGTTAGGAGAGGGTCTCTTGGATGGGGAATTGATAGATTTAAGTATTTTTAATATAATTAGAGCGGACAGGGACAAGGAAATGGTTCAAAAAGGAAAAGGTGGAGGTGTATTAATAGCGGCACATAAAAATTGGAAAATACTGAAAGTGGCTAAAATGAGTTCAATGTTTGAAGCAATAATATTGCAGATTAAAATAAATCGTACTGTTAACGTGACATTGGCTTGCGTTTATATTCCTCCAAAAAGTTCTTGTCAAGTATATGAATCTTGCTTTGGGTTTTTGCAAGACAATATAGATTGTGTAAATGAAACTTATATAATGGGTGACTTTAACTTGCCTGAAATAAAAGGTGCATCGCAATCAGTTAATGTGTCAAATGAAAGACTACTTGCTCTCAATGATTTTTTAAATTTTAATTCATTTAGATTATTTAATAATATTGTTAACTTTCAGGGAAAAACTTTGGATTTAATAATTTGCGCGGATGAAAATAATTGTAATATTTATAGAGCCGAATTTCCTCTTACAAAAGAAGATCTATATCATCCTTCATTGGAAATGTCTATTAATCCAGGTCAAAGATCTGTATCACGTAACTGTGAGATTGATGAAAACAAAAAATTTCCATATAATTTTAAAAAGGCAAATTTTATTCTTTTATACGAGTATATTAACGATACTGATTGGGGTGATGTTTGTGCAGAACCCAATGTCAATGATGCATTAAATAAATTTTATAGTACTTTAAACAATATTTTTTCTAAGTGTGTACCAACATTCAGGCTACATAAACAGTATAATAAGTATCCAATATGGTATAATAGGGAAATTAAACAACTTATAAAGGAAAAAACCAAATTTAATCACATGAAACATATTTCTGATTTTTATAAACAGCAATACATGGACACAAGAAGAAAATTAAAATCACTAATTAGATCCGAGTATAAAAAATACATTAAAAATATACAGGAAGATTCGAAAGCAGACATAAATAATTTTTGGACTTATGTTAATAAAAAAAGAAGTGGGAGTGTGAACAGTGGCAATTTTATTTTTAATGATAAAGAAATTCTTCCACAGCAAACTGCTAAGTTTTTTGCGGAATATTTTGCTACTACATATTCATCAAATCAGTCTACATATATTTTAAATGAACAAAACTCCAATCTTTGGAAAAATGATAGTTTTACACTAAATTTAATAAATGATGATGATTATCTAGCAGCTGTCAAAAAATTAAAACCAAAAAAGGCTGCAGGCACAGATGGTATTCCACCATATATCTTAAAAGGTTGTCATGAGGGTTTAAAATTGCCAATGCTTCATATATTCAATCTTATTCTGAAATTTTCTACTTTCCCTGATCTGTGGAAAACGGCTATTTGTACCCCAATACATAAATCAGGTAGTACAAGGAATATTGAAAATTATAGATCGGTTTCTGTTATGTGTGCTCCTTCTAAATTATTCGAGCAAATAATTTATAACAAATTATATAATTTCGTGACAAATAGCATTGCTGAGGAGCAGCATGGATTTGTGGCTGGTAGATCAATTAATTCTAATTTATTTATTTTTACAAATTATGCGAATAATACATTAGAAAAAAGACTTCAGCTAGATACAATTTTTACAGATTTTAGTAAGGCTTTTGATCGGGTAGATCATGATATTTTGTTAGAAAAGATCAGTCAATTTGGATTGACAAATAATGTATTAATGCTTATCAGGGATTACTTAAAAGATAGATACTTTTTAGTAAGACATAATGGTAATACTTCTAGCAGATTCCGTGCTGTTTCCGGAGTGCCGCAAGGTTCCAATTTAGGTCCATTATTGTTTCTGTTATTTGTCAATGATCTGCCAAAAGTGATTAAATACTCGAGATGCTTACTTTTTGCTGATGATTTTAAAATTTATAAACAAATTCAAACAGTACGCGATTGCGTTTCTTTGCAAAAAGATATAAATGCTATATACGAATGGAGTCAAAAATGTAAATTGGAATTTAACATCAGCAAATGTTATTATATGACTATTACCCGGCAAAAGCAACCGATTATATTTGACTATCAAATGGAAAGTGTGTCATTAAGAAAGTGCTTTCAAGTTAAAGATTTGGGGGTAACATTCAATTCTAAATTATCATTCTCTACGCATATTGAGAATACTTGTAAAGCAGCAAATCGTGCTCTGGGATTTTTAATGAGACAAACGCAGCCATTTTCTGATATTAATTTGTTAATAATTTTATATATTTCGTTAATCCGTTCAAAATTAGAGTTTGCTTCAATTATATGGCTTGGAGAATACCAAATCATTTTACAAGAATTAGAGAAAATACAAAATAAATTTTTAAGATATCTTTACTTTAAAAAGTTTCATATTAGACCTGATTACAATGTTGTTAGAACATCACAATTAAGAATAGATTTTAAATTACCTTCTCTTGAGACTAGACGCAAAATCACATGCACCTTATTTTTGTATAAAATAATCAATAATCAAATATGTTCTTCAGATCTGTTAGCCCTAATACCATTTTGTGTTCCATCACGTCCCATGCGTAACTCAAATATGTTTATTGTTCCTTTTGCCACGATTACATCCAGAGCTCCCCTCCTGATCATTCTTCGCTTAGCCAATGGTATAAACAATTTAGAAGATATAGACTGGTATGAGAAATATAATACATTTAAAAAAAATATTATTAAACCAATTACAAACATGTCCATTTAAGCAAGTAATGTTATTTGTTCTCATGGTGTTCTGGTATCAAAATTATGTAAATTGTGGTAGGCACGTATATTGTAATTATTTAATAGTAATTATCCTTGTAATTAGGCCAATAGGCCTGTTAGGATAAATGAATAAATAAATAAATAAATAAATAAATAAATAAATAAATAAATAAATAAATAAATAAAGTCGATACAGCAAGAGACATATCTAATTAATCAGTTTGATTCATAAATCAAATAAGTCTGCATGTATGTAGGTGCTTTAAACGCGAAGATACATCATTTTTGATCACGAAAAGGCTTTTGGTCGAGTAAACAAAACCTGTAATGTATAGTATGAAGCAAATAGAATACAATTCCACCAAAAATTTTCTTAAAGTATCTAAAGCAAAAATTCCTCAAGATCACAATGCGATAAGAAGTTTGGTGATACCATTAAACTCCTTAGATATCTAGTAACACTTTAGTTTTATCCCCGATTGAATAATGCCCCCACGGTAATGTATCATCTGATCCATGAACCAGGTACCGCTTGTCATTATTGGGAGAAAGAGCTACTCTCGTCTGTGTAATGGAATGGACTATATGTTGGTCTGATCGTATCAGATTTTGAGAAACAGTCTTCGATGTCCAACTATCGAGACATTCGATGTAATCATCAAATGTAATAACCGACTTTACTACAGATAACTTCACACCCTTAGCCTTTTGCGATATCCCATAATTTTTCATAATTTCTTCAATGTTACTCTGATTATACTCCATTTCCTTAAGCTCCTTCTTCTTCTTCATAATATCCTCAGTCCTATACATCACTTTTGTTGCATACAATTTTGATCTTAAGCTTACATAATCTCTCATTGGTACAAAAGTGTGAAAATATACCAAATTTGGTTTTACTCTTTCAAAATTAAATGGATTTTCATCAAGTAAAGGCCGAAACAATAAATAAATTATTTTTCATTAAACCTAAAACTTTTTATTTACAGGGGGGATTCCATAACTATTTGGTTGGGGATAGTCAGATGTATCGAAATATAGGTGACAGTCTCTCTTCATGATTTCGTAAGAGTCTTGATACTCAATTTCATATATTAGTGAATCGGTGTCGGTATAGAGAACTGTACAATCTTCAAAAACTAAGGACATATAACCATAATGGAAGTCATAAAGAGTCGTCTTTGCAAGATCAAGGATAGATTGGCCAACGTAGATAGGTTTATTAAGCCAGATCTGCAGCTTTCGTAGCTCCACTGCAACCAAGTTCTCGTTAAATATAGTGCAGTTTTTAAATTCAGGTTTCGATATCATCGCCTCTGCTCCATACCGCCCACTCCATTCGGTTAGAAGCCGGATATTGACCCTTTTTCGGATGTTTTCCATCGTTTTACCTGTAACAATAGATTAAGATTAAATAAGTTTTAAAAAATAGATTAAGATTAAATAATATTTATAGTTGAAAAAGTTAGACTCGCCAAAAACAGCATTATTCATTAGTTTAAAAAGATTCTTTTCAAACTCATTCGTGGCCTTCTTGCGCAATTCAGTGTTGAGGTCAATATAGCTCTTCAGCCAAGATGCTTGTCTAAATTTCAACAATAGGTGGATCTTGGTGAGAACTAATCCGTTAGCTAAAGCTTGCTTTAAGGCTCTATAATGGATGACGTACTTCGTCTTTGGGTGAAGGGTAGCCATCAACTTAGTAAGCTCCTTAGCAGTCTTCGAAGGTTTACCAGTCTTTGGATTGATATGCTCAGAGCAAAACGGTAGATCTTTATGTGCATCATGAAGTTGTTGTGGATACTCGAGATCGACTTCAAGCATATATCCTTCTGGTGCATCGTCAGGTATTTGGGTGATATCGATGTTGGTGTCACCTCATTCGAAGCCACTATAGGGTAGATATTGCGACATGGCCCGTCCATATTGTTTGTTAACATCGAAATACATTAAGTATTTGGAGGGCTTGGATAAATCGTAAGTTGACATGTACTTATTGTTGGCTCGTGCTCGTCTTTTCGAACAGATTTGGCTAAGACCTCCTCGGATTCCTCGCTCGACAAACAAAAACATGTCAACATCAGTTAATAGCTCCAGCTCCTGTTTTGTATGTTTTAACATAGCATCCCACGTAAAGCCGGAGAGGGTGTAGTAGTGGGCAGGGTCAAGACCGTATGTTTTATGGCAGCTAAAACGGAACCGTTCAAAGACGTCCGCAAGAAGCGTGATATCCGTCTTCATATATAAGTCAACGTACTGACCAAGATCTTTGCATCCAAACTTATTCCATACATGCTTTGCTCGAAGGTAAAGCCTACGAGGACACGGTCTATCCTGTAACTTGTTGAAGAATTTGTCAATATGTGGAAAAGAAGTTTCCCCAAATCGATCGAATGAGTCGATGTAATCATATGGCATCACGTTGGTTAATAAATTAAACTGGCAATTCATGGAACTGAGATTTTAAATTTGGATGTTCAGGTAAATATGAAGCTAGCTTATCTTAAAGAAGAGGCCATAAATCAGTAACTATCAATAAAACGGAATTGGATGGGATACTCATCAATATGTTTAGTAAAGGAGATGTACTTTTCCTTGGTGATAGGCAGCAAATCGATAGTTTCTTTCATTCGTGTGGCAATATCTGTAATGATAAAGTGTGCATCATATCCTGATAAATTATGAAACACCACAGGTACAACGTGTGTCTTTGTAATTAATATTACACCCTTCGTGGGCGGGACCCCTATAGTTGTGTTCGGGGATTAAATGAAAATGATCGCGCACTTTTTTATCTTCAGTTGTGAATGGTTCCTCGCATATATGACAATGAGTGGCTTTTTGAAACTCATCTTCCTGAGAAGGCGTCATGTGAATATCATAAGGACACCAAAACACAGTAGCCATATCTTCTGCTAGCTGTGCCATCTCATCAGCAAAAAAACTGCATACAGTCAACACCTCGATAAGCTCGATAGAACGACAAGGAGTCATCATAGCTGCACTTTAAATAGTATCCAACAGCAGCTGAAACGTGTTGCCGAGGCTTCTTGGGGTCATTGGTACGTCTTAACGCGCTTTCCAGATCTTCATACACACTAAAAGGGACCTTTTCCTTATTTTTGAAGTTCTTGAACTTAACAATATTTTTTCCCATTTCAGGCATCTTTATCGCAGTTTCATTTAACTTCATACAATCCTCGAGATGTTTGTCCAGCTTCGCTTGTGTATGAAAGTAATGTAGGCACCGATCACAGAAAAACTTTTTATTGTGGTTAGATGACAACTGTTGCGAAAGTAGTCTAGATGGGCTTTTTATCCACACATAATGATATTTCGTAGGAACATCATCAAAACGATCTTGAATTAGCAGAAGGTTGACATGACGATCTTGTTTATTCTTTGTGAGGTAAGTTGGTAATGTGGTAAATACCTTTTTCTCTTTTTGTAGGATGTAAACATTTATAGAAACGTTGTTCTGCTTCTCGAACTTTGGAATTTGTTTCATGGTCATAAGAAACTAAATTCCTTTCAGTTATTTTACTGATGAGTAGTGAGGGTAAGATGAAACCCTATCTGGATGACCACCATGCGGCGCGGGATGCATTGCTGCAGTGACCGCCCAAACAAAGCATGCCTGATCATAATTTTTTATAGTAATACATGCTTCTTTTTGTTTAATTTGTGGAGGTTACTCGATGTATGAAGAGGCGTAAACTTGTTAATATTAACCCCTAAATTTAACACTTTCTTTAACGCCCAGCCGCTATCTCGCTCCTAAAACTCCTCAAGCTTATTCATTATAGGAGCAATAACTTTTTCATTGAATCAATCTTCAAGATTGGTGTCTTTATAGATGGCGGAATTGGATATTGTGAAGTATTTAATCTCATTGATGACCTGATCGCCTTTAAGAATCACAAATTCTCCACCAAATACAGTATTAACTTTAAACGCATCATCCTTCTTCAATGCAGTATGAATCCTCTTCTTGAATAAGGCCTTAGCATCAGCCAGGAAAGCTTTCGGATCTTTATGGTTTAGATTACTGATTACACCCGTCCTGATGCGGCTAGCGAACGCCGACTAGTTATTAGATTATGACTTAAATTAATTTTTTTCTAATAGTTGAAGGCCTTATTTATCTAATACTGAACTTTTAACTATACCTTACCTTGCAAATTTTTGAGAATTTTTTTTTTTTAAATGTGAGTATTTGTACAGTGCCTCACGAGAAAGTAAGTCCTCAACAACAATTCTCGAATTATACTATTATTTATTGATTAGATGGAGTAGAAAAAAACTAAATTAAGGTTTTTGAAATATTTAGATTTTGTTTTATACAATAAAATATATATATAGTAAACCGTGGAACTTATTGAGAAATTATTATTAAAAAATCACAAAAAATTTTCAAGTAACCTAGTTGAAAATTTTTTGTGATTTTTTAATAATAATTTCTCAATAAATTCCACGGTAACCTATATATTTTATTGTAAAAAACGAAACCTAAATATTTCAAAAAACTTATTTTTAGTTTTTTTCTACTCCATCTAATCAATAAATAATAGTAAAATTAATTATAATTCGAAAATTGTTGTTGAAGTCTTACTTTCTCATAAGACACTGTACAAACAAACACATTTTTAAAAAAAAATTTCTCAAAAATTTACACGGTAAGGTATAGTTAAAAGTTCACTATTAGATAAATAAGGACATCTACTATTAGAAAAAAATTAATTTTAGTCATAATCTAATATTTTTTATTTAACATTGGTGGCGAAACTTTTTCATAAATTTAAACAATTTTTCAAAAAATCAAAGAAGCGACATTATACTTTCCAAGAAAGTGATACATATCAAAGTTTTCCAAAATGGGATACCTTGTATTTCATATATTTGAATTTTCCTTGCCTTTTTTATTATAACAATAAAATAGTCTGAGATTATACAGGGTATTTCACACGTTATAACCAGTTTTATATAAAAATCGTACTGATTTCAAAGACGTGTATAGTGCAAAATAAATATTTGAAAACCATTTTTGTGCAGTAAAAGGTTTTCATTATTAGTCAAAAATGTTTACCGATGTACTACTTTTTTAATTTTAAACAAATCTTTATAGGGTTCGTCAATACAAAAAATTTAGTAACTATTTCTATTTGGGACAAATCTATTGAATTCGTTTAATATTATTTTTATTTTAAACAACATTTTTAATAGATAAATGTTAAATTGTCATTTGTTTTATTAGGTAAAAAAGCACAAGATTTAATGTCGTGGCTGGTGTTTCATAGGCGAAGCGTAGCTAAGACTAGGAAACCAGCCAAGGCATTCGGAGAAAAAATGATATGTTCCACACAGCAGAAAATTAGATATAATGCCTTGGCTGGTTCCCTAGTCTCAGCTTGGCTTCCACTATGAAACACCAGCCACGGCATTCAATCTTGTGCTTTTCTGGCTAATAAAACAAATGACATTTTCACATGTATTTATTTAAAATGAGAATAATATACGAAATCAATAGATTTGTCCTAAATAGAAATAGTTACTAATTAGAAATTAATAAATTGTAATAATATTTTACCAAATATTTACATTATTATACTCTTCACACAGTAGTCTGTGAAGAGTATTATATGTTTACTTTTGTCCGTCTGTCTGTCCGTCCGATGTCACGTTTTTTGTCCGCACGATAACTCAAAAACGAAACATGATATCTTCTTGAAATTTATAGAAAAAATCAAACTCTATAAGGGGACAAAGCCTATTGATTTTGAAAAAAATCGGAATAAAAATGAGGGGTTTAAGGGGGGGTTGAAACTTAAAAAAAATTATAAATCATTTAGGAAAAATGAAGTTCTAAGAGAGGACGAGGCCTAATAATTTTTTAAAAATCTGATTAAGAATAGGGGGTTATAGGGGAGTTAAAACTTAAAAAAATCATAATTTAAAAACGAAATATGATATAAATTTGAAATTTTCAGGAAAAATCAAGCTTTATAAGGAAACAAAGACTATTTTTTTTTAAATAAATCTGATTAAAAAGGGGGGTTTAAGGGGGGGTTAAAACTTTAAACAAATCATAAATCAAAAACGAAACATGATATTAACTTGAAACTTTAAGAGAAAATCAAGTCCTATAAGGGGACAAAGTCTAGTGAATTAAAAAAAAAATTAATAAAAGTAGGGGTTTAAGCGGGGTTTAAATGTAAAAAAATCATAAATCTAAAACGAAACATGATACCAACTTGAAATTTAAAAAAAAATCAAGCTCTATGAGATGATGAAGTCTCTTGATTTTTAAATACATCCGATTAAAAATGGGGAGATTAGTGGGGGGTTGAAACTTTAAAAACATCATAAATCAAAAACGAAACATGATATCAACTTTAAATTTTCAGGAAAAATCAAGTTCTATTAGAGGACGAAACCTATTAAATTTTTAAAAAATCTGAATAACAGTAGGGGGTTAAGTTGGGTTAAAATTAAAAAAAAATAATTCATCTAAAAGAAGTATTATATCAACTTGAAATGTTTAATAAAAATCAAGCTCTATAAGAAGATGAAGCCTATTAATTACTAAAAGAAAAAAATCTGAATAAAAATTGGGAAGCCTATTTATTCCCAAAAAAAAAAAATGTTTATAAAAAAATCGCTGGTTAAGAGGGTCTGTTAAACTGTGAAGAGTATAATTTAGAATTCCAAGCATTATATATTCTCATTCTAAATTTAAAATTGCTTTATTGTTCTTTATTTTATGTATTCGATACATTTTTTGTCTCGATAAAAACATTTTTACTTTTATTCGCTGAAAAATGTTTTTTAAAATAAGAACAATAACACATACGAAACCAATAAACACATTTGTCACAAATAGGTAGTTACTAGTTAGTACTTTATAAATTTTAATAATATTTAACCATTTAAACATTTTACACATATTTAATAAAAAATATCTTTTAAAATAATAATATTTTTACGATTCCAATAAACACATTTTTCATAAATAGTTATTAAATTTTAAGGATATTGTAAAAAAAATTTCAATCAATAAATTACAGCTAGTAAAATTTTAATCACTAATTAACACACAGTCTATTTCCAGTCAACCAGTGACCAGTTAAAATTAAACTATTTTGTGAATTATCTTTTTTGTCATCAAAGAAAATGGGAAAATGATGTATTTCCGTACTGATGTACCCTACAAAGATTTGTTTAAAATTAAAAAAGTAGTACATCGGTAAACATTTTTGAATAATAATGAAAACCATTTACTCCAAAAAAATGGTTTTCAAATGTTTCTTTTGTACTATACACGTCTTTAAAATCAGTACGGAAAACTTTGATATTGTATTACTTTTTTAGAGAACCTTGTATAATTGGAAAGTATATGTTGCTTCTTTGATTTTTTGAAAAACTATTTAATTTCATGATAAAGTTTTAATCTCAAATATAACATGCTTTTTAATAGAATGAAATAAAAAAAAAAACATTTTTTAAATAACACACGAGAATAAAGTTTGGCCTTATGAACAGTTTTCAATATTATAATAATTATTGCCAGAAATAATCCATTGGTAAATTTGTATACGCGAATAAATTTAAAGGGCGAAGAGACCAATTTGTTTTTAGATCATTCGATATGCCTAAATTGTTTTTAAAAAGAGATTCTAATTCTTTGAACCGCTCTCAAATAGGTAATAATAAATCATTTCGTTGTAAAGGATTCCATTGTAAAGGTTTCCATTGCAAATAATAAGCTCTAAAATCAAGTGTTGAGCCAGTCAAGCATATGTTACTTATTTAGCATTGTATTTAAAAATTTAACCAACTATTAAAACTTTAGAAAATATTTTATGTGACACATGCACTGCATAGGTTTTGGAATGGCTAATATCCGAGTTATTTGATCATAAAATAAAATAAAAAGGAAACAAATCTCTTGCAAAATCCAAAGTTTGAATGTTGTCTAATATTTCTCTAATTTTTACAGTAATTTTGACTATTAAAGCTAAAAGTAGAGCAAATATATTACTGAAATAAGGATAAAAATCATTATCATTTATTTAAGCAAGTTTCTTCTCCAAGTATAAATAACAGATACATTCAATAGAGTAGAAAAATGCCCTTGTATAAAGTAGCCCC